AACAAAAATTGCGTTTTGGACCCGAAAGTAATCATGCCGAAAATTTTACCATCTATACTGATGCAGATTGGGCAAGCAATAAGGTCGATCGGAAGAGTATTTCTGGGGGAGTTGGAATGTTTTATGGAGGGCCTTTCTCGTGGGCATCTAAGAAACAAAATTCTGTCTCAACGTCAACCGCAGAATCTGAGTATATTTCACAGGCGATGTATGCCAAACAGGGACAGTGGGCCGCACAAATTTTCAAGGATATGTTGTTCCCGGAGTACATAAATCAGAATAAGAAAACTGTCCAAATGTTCGGTGACAATCAAGGTGCACTGGCCCTGGTAAAAAATCCCTATCTTCATGAGCGTTCAAAGCACATTGACATCTATTACCATTTTATTCGTGACCTCGCTGAGAATAAAAAGCTTCAAGTCCATTATATCTCAACGTCACAAATGGTTGCAGATGGGATGACGAAGCCACTTGCACGCATAGCCTTTCAGAGGTTTAAAAGGCAGATGGGACTCTCGGACGTTGATAGAGAAATTGAGGAGACGACTAGCTCCGAGGGGGAGTGTTGAAATAGGTTGTATCAGACCAAGTCGTAAGCATCACGTGAAGGTAAAGATTAGTATACGAGGCAAGCATCGCGAGACATTAGATTTTGTAATAATAGAGACTATCTATTTTTGTAATGAAGTTACTACACAACAATCGATCTGCTGCACTAAAGTCTAACAATTCCTGTATATAGATGTAGTCTCTCCTATCTCCAGAGATCTTCAGTTCATTGTATTAACTGAATATCTCTCAAGGCTATATTCATCGCTCCTCTCGTCAACTCCATAGCTTTACATCTAAAGCCCCGTTCACCTGCTCCTGTGCTCGAATACCGATCTTCCTTACTCTACAACAGCCCGAAATCCCTCTCGATCTTTAACCTCACAACAAAACTCAACACCTGTCATTGGTATCCCCTACGAAGCTCCAACTCTCACTGTAGAGTCTGCAGAGACGAGATTGAGTAGCACCTTTTGTTGGAAATGGAGACACGGAGTGTTGTGGACGTACGGGCCCTCCATTTCGTCTAGGTTCCCGACACGATCTTGTGTGTATGTAAGAGGTTGGAATGGGCAATATGTTAGCGCTTCAGGCTACCTATTGGAGATATGAGCTGCTGTATGGCGTGGGCGCAAGGAGGTTATTGGGGGTTTTCTATGCCTAGATGGCGCCACACTCGTTTATGCTGTGGCTTAGGCTCTGTGTCACTTACACTTGTAATTGTAGCGCACATCTCCAACAATTTTAGCTTTAATCCGAACATGACGCTCTTTTAGTCAACTTCTAATTTCGTTCCATGAATATTGCGTCCATTTCATTGCGCGATATTTCCAACACCTTTTCAACTTTGAGCTGAGTTATCTCCTCAATCAAAGATACGCTTCCGATAACACATAAGACGACCAAGACGACGATAATGATGCTGGGAACGAGGAGAGATAATGCGGTACCAAACGCTACAACGGTAGTCAGAGAAGCCCTCGTTATATCACAACATGTGCTACCCACTGGCGGGCGAACAAAAAGCCCACGAAAGCAAAGCAAAAGACCCTCCTGCCCTCAAGAAAAGCTGATTTTGACTCGTCAAAAATATTATCCCTTCTAATCTACACTTCTGAATCTACTAGCCAGGAGGGCATCTGTAATAAATGAGTTACCCGACAACTCCACGTCCGTAACAATTTTTGGATGCTAGGCTAGGCTCCTTCACGACAGTCACTCTCTACCAAGACTTTTCTGACATCCTTTCACGACCTTCGGTTTGTCCTGCAGCACGAATCAAGAGAGGAGTAAGGAGGAGACTAGGAAGGTTGAAAGACGCTTTTAGGTATATACATGTCTGCTGCGCCCGGCTGGCCTGCCTCTTCGTCATATGAGAGCCCTGCACCCAGTGGTTTCTAAGACCTTCCCAGCAGCTACACACCCGCAAATGGCCATCATTTCGTTGGATAGAGAGGGTAGATAATGACGGGGTAATGGCTCCTCTTAGTGTGTACTCGAATGAAGACCTGTGGGGGTATTACTGCTGGAAAGAAGTCGTGAGGGAGGCATAGGAGGGAGTACATTTCCCGAGGCATAGATACTCTCAGCCTATAGGCAGAAAGGACCTACACGTCCTTACATAGTTGTAGACTCATTAGGAAAATATATACTTACAATCGCCATTCTATACAGTGAAATCTGATGATGGTGTATGACTCTCTTTCTAAAACTACAATATGTGCCTAGTATTTACAGGTGTCGGGTCGGATGGTCCAGTGGTGCTCCGTTCGAGCCGTTCTCCCAGGTAGATACTGGGTAGCTTGAACATCTACACAATTCGAGACAGAAGAAAGCTGGTTCGAATCCAGTCAGACCCACTCTCCAATCTTTTTTTTTTTTTGCATCAGATTTTAATTGCGTATGCAGCTATCTAGCTATGACACAATATCAGAGAAGTGTATGATAGATGATTCAATTTACAAGAAGAGCACTCATGCCTCGGATTTCATTTGCAAGTACCACTGCGAAGTTATGGTGGCTTTTTCTTCACCCCAAGTCAACCCTCATCCGTGAATACCCACCCAGGGGAACATCTCAAAAACCCTGGGTTATCCAGACATGCCTCCATCATCTTTCAACTTTTCTCCGCGCGATATGTGATCTGAGGTGTCTCCTTCCCAATTGGAGTAGGTGCCCAGGCTACTCAAACTATACCAGAGAACACCACCAGGAGGCGGACCACAACACCTTCCGTCGTTTGCTTGTTTTTATAGTGTCAACTGCACTCTCGCAAGCGAAGTCTTGGCGCGCACAAAGCCCAATTCGAAAAACTCCTTGCCAAAATTCAGAATTTCACGCCCGTCGAGGTTTTATCCTTCCTTCGTATCATCATGTCAACTTATCCTGATTCCTCTCAAGTCCATCTCAAATAACTGTCTCCCAGATTTGTGCGCCACGCTTTGCTTCCTCCGTCGGGTATAAATATCGGCGTGGGCGTGTATTTGGCGGTCAACTGAGCCCAGAGAAGGTCAAAGAGCGGTGTGGTCATCGGGATGAGGATGTACTTGGTCGTACTTGTAGACTTGATGAGACGAAGATAGGAGTCAAACTCGTTGGGAGCGAAATAACGACATGGAGGAGTAATTTGGATTTTTGCCTCGTGGGCCAACTTCTTTGATATTGCCAAATTTGACTGAACTTGGCTCTGGGAGAATATTTCACTCCCAGGTTCGTAGAGGACACCGCGTACAGGTGTTAAGTCTTGCCCTCCACACACCAATCTCTCTCGCGGTGATTTTGTTCTTGTGGGATGATGTAAGCACACTTGGATAGCCACAGGGTTTTCACGCTTTTTCTGTGGTGGGTATGCACGGAAGAGGTTATACGCCGCAAGGGTTAACCTCGGGTGGTATCTGCAAATGAAATCTTAGTGTGAGTGTTTTAAATGTCAAGTTGAGTCATCCTACTTAAAGTACATATCTTCGGATAAAAACCCTCATGGGCCTCAAGGTGCTCGATCAGGTAAATGAATTATATATATATATATAAATATATACAGGTGTCTGCAGTGACTCAAGGATCCAAAATGTTAGCCTTGAACCTGGGTTGCCTAAGGGATTAGCCCTGTAGGCGCAGCTGGGCTAGCTCGCAATAGGTTAGAGTGTCTCTCGTCATTACCCCGCTCGCCATGAAGTATGTTCCAATTGTCTTTATTTTAAGTTAGTGAGTGGTTGTTTATTGTCCTTAAAAGTCTATAACCATGTAAGGACATGTAGGTTGTCTTCGTTTTAACAATCGCTTAGAGGAACACATTTTCAACGACACTCTTAACTGCCCAGCCAACAAAGCCTCTGATTCATAACATCACTTTCAATTCATCCACTATTATAGCAAACAAAGTCTGTCTAAAAGTTTGCTTCAGAAACCAAAGTTCGTAGGCATCTAACTCGCGATCAATGTATTGAAATAAGAACATTAAGAAGACGTGGCTTGACATTACAACATATATCCGACGAACTTGGCTTAACAAGAAGGCAAGTGCAACTTGCGTGTGCTCGAGAGACCGAGAATCCTATAACTCGCAGAGGACGCTCACCTAATTTAAGCGCGGAACAAGTTGATGAGCTTGAGGCTTTCGTCCGGGAATCTCCTGAAAATCGACAGAAGTGCTATTTGGAACTAGCTATGGGGCCTATCAGTCACTGGGGATGTAGTAAGGGTTTAATTTCTAATGCCCTCAATAAAATGGGTTACAGCAGATGCATTGCTCGGAAGAAGCCTCCGTTAAGTGTGGTTAACATGCACGAAAGACGTATAGCGGTGATAAAGGAAAATGGAGGATATACAAAGTGTTAGAATGGAGCAGACTAATACAATACATGTAGTATGCTTTCATTTCAGTTGTGAGCCATACTGAGGGCTTCGATGTAGACTTTTGTAATACAGAGCAATTATTTTTGAAAAAGATGTGTATTTTTAGAGAATATTAATTAATTTTTTTTTTAATTTTTAATTTTAGATTAGGACCGTTGTACAATTCTTTTGGTGTTGAAAACCATCCCCATAATTTAGACTTTCACGGAATATCATTGGATAGTACTCCTGCTTGCATTTCTAGAAGACGAACTAGACATGGGCCTGCATGAAGACCAAACCAATCAAATCAATATTTACAGGGATCTAGTCTCAGTCATTTTGACAATTTATAGTATAAATATATGATCAGGGATCCTCAATTACGCTCTTGCTGCCTAGCAACGAGATTTCGGCTCGTGCGTCGCGCTAAGGCGGAGGCATATAGGCATGAAATCTGAATCATCGCATTCACATATTTTGATCTCCGCGCGAATATAGCATTTACATCGTAATAACAACACAAACTGCATATCATCTAGAGAAACTATAGTTCACTTTAAAAAGCCATTAGAGCTAATTTACATTGTATTAGAGAAGCTACGGCGGAAGAAAACATGTCGGTAGTTTCATTGCTAGGCGTCAATGTTCTTCAGAATCCGGCCCGGTTTGGTGACCCATATGAGTTTGAAATCACGTTCGAATGTTTAGAAACACTCCAGAAAGGTACGTGAACGGTCTCAAGCTTGCCTGTGCATCTATATATATTCTAACAACTTACTGAAATTTAGATCTCGAATGGAAATTGACTTATGTTGGATCAGCTACATCGTAGGTCATAAATCAACTCCAGAATTTAGCAAGCTGATCTTTTACAGCAATGATCACGACCAAGAGCTTGATAGCTTACTCGTTGGGCCTATTCCAGTTGGTGTTAACAAATTTATTTTCGTAGCAGACCCTCCGGACACCAATAAGATACCAGACGCCGAAATTCTAGGTGTCACCGTCATTCTTCTAACATGTGCTTACGACGGTCGAGAATTTGTCCGTGTTGGATACTACGTCAATAACGAGTATGACTCAGATGAACTGAACACAGACCCTCCCGCAAAGCCCATATTAGAGAAAGTTCGGCGTAATATTCTGGCCGAGAAGCCAAGGGTAACTCGCTTTGCAATAAAGTGGTAAGCGAACAGACAATTTAGATTATAACTGCCTATTAACCATCTTGCAGGGACTCTGATGATTCTGCGCCACCACTCTATCCACCTGAGCAACCAGAAGCAGACTTAGTGGCCGATGGTGAAGAATACGGTGCCGAAGAGGCTGAGGACGAAGACGAAGAAGAGTCTGCGGATGGGCCAGAAGTTCCAGCAGACCCTGACGTCATGATCGATGATTCTGAAGCCGCAGGTGCCATGGTAGAGACTGTCAAAGCAACCGAAGAAGAATCCGATGCCGGCAGCGAAGATTTGGAAGCTGAAAGCAGTGGGAGCGAGGAAGATGAGATTGAAGAAGATGAAGAGCGCGAGGATGAACCTGAAGAAGCCATGGATTTGGATGGCGCAGGTAAACGAAACGCTGCCATATCTAGCAGCAACAACACCGATACCACAATGGCTCATTAATTTAATTTTGAAAATTCGAAAACATTTATTTCACAAGTGATTTAATGTAATAACTTTCTTGATTGAACTACCGCTCTATTAAATCAGAATTATTCGCCCTATTTCAATAGAAATCCGTTTAATATTGCGCGCTACACAGGGGAGCTTAAGATCGGCCACGACACGTTGATTTTAAGATAAACTTGCCGAACACAACGATCTATAAACTAGAACCGCAAAGATAGGTGAAATATCTTCAACAATAGATTTTCTATGGACTGAGAAACCTAGCAATTGTAACTTAACCTCACAATTGGGTAAATATATATCGTCGACTTTAAACTTTGATCGTCGACTTTGTAAATGTATGTCTGTCATCACAGATAATGGATATAATTCATGAGATTGCTTAATGACAGGCTGGGATTGACTCCGGTATTATGAAAAAGAAGACTTGTCCCAATTATCAGGGGGCTTCATGCTGAAAATAAACTAAGAATACTCAGAACTCTTCGAGTGATCACGGGAAATAACGAAGTATATACTTCAAAGGTTATCTATAGATGTAAATTATATTTATAGTAAAGGCTTGATCGAAACTCCTGATCTTAACTAAAGGATATGAGACTGTCTATATACATTGATGTCTGGAAATGACATGAGCTAGAGTGTAATGCCTCATTACGGGATACAGCGGAACAAACTACAGATCTGATACCAGTTACGCGTATTCTCGTCGCAGTCTCGAATATCACACGTAATAAAAGATAATGGTGTAACTATTAGCAGATAGGCGACATCAGACAATCTTGATGGACACATACTGAAACCAGAAGCACAGGGAGTATGAATGTGTGTGTGTTTATTGTGCTACTCGAGCCTGACTACCTAGCACATTGGGCTCCTCTCTGACCTAGGCCAAACCTTTTACAGTGCTCCTATCCTCTTTTATTACTTGAAAGCTCATTGATATATTCCCCCTGATGAATAGTCATTCAGCTCAGTGTTTACCCGTGGAATTCGGCCACCTTTTCCACGGAACCTTCTACCCAAAAACAAAAGGTAGCAAAGGAAATTACATGCGCGGGAGAAAGTCTCAAAAAACCTGCAGCCCCAGCCAGGTGAGGCCTAGACACCGGGACCACATGAGGTGCGCATATTTATCTATGTCTCCCTTCTTTGTAACAGTTGAGGTCGACTTGATTCAATCCGCCATCTCCGTATCGGGTGCTGGGTACGCTCCGGAAAATCATCGGATGGCTTCTCCTCCATGATCAAGGGTCGGTGATGAGTAGGGCTCCGACCCTACCATCTGATCTGCTCGTGGTTAGCTTCATGATAATGGTGATAGGGGAATGTTTTGAGAGATGAAGACGATACAGACCGCGAAAGCGATTGAGAATCCTCGTAGAAATGAAGACTTTGTTACTCAATCTCGGCTCTGCAGACTCTATAGTGAGAGCTAGAGATTCGTAAGGGACACCACTGACAGGTGTTGAGAATAGTCCCCCAGAAGCGCAGGGAGTGTCTAAGTTGGTTTCGCAACACTTTAACGTCTTTCTATCTACAGGTGAATCCCCAATTTTCCATTCATGCTAGCCATAAAGGACGTAGCATGTAACACTTGATTCGTATCAACTTTTTGGGGTTTAGGTTTACCGTGCACATGCTACTCCAGTCGCATGTCTTACTACTATGCGACACGCTCAGGTTTGAATCTGTCAACCTACACCAAAACCGTAACTACTCACATCCCTAATGATGACTCCATGAATAATTGGAGCAGTAGCCTGCAATAAAGCACAATTAGGCTGGAAATTGTTGATCAGGATCTATTCCGAACAATGCGTGTTGTAATGGAGTTGTTGTGATTATTGTCGACTATTATGATGATCTATGGATTATGATTCCTTTAGATGGTTAGAGCAGTGTAGCTGGTAGTAGATTCAACAAGGTATAGGGTTAAACAAACATGTATGATTCCTACAGTCTCAGCATTCCCTAGGAATGCTATAGCCCAAATCGTACTAACGTTCCACTGCTATGCTGATCTACACGCAAATATGCAACTATTAATATAGGGTACATAAGATCTCCAAACGCCTTATCCACAGTGCTCCAAAGTAAACAATAATCACAACCAAAACTCCAATATCATCACCTCCACGCGAATAATTAAATTTATCCACTTAATGGTACCCGCAAAATCAAGTAGCATCATGGCTGCGCACAGCCAGCCGTCGTCCTGGGCATCAACTGACCCAGGAGACCTATTACACCCGAACCTTCTTGGGATTGCCGTCGCAATGGAGCAATCGAAACGCGAACAAAAGCAGCGAATGAGCCTAGCGCAAAATTTCCTGTTAAATATCGATGCCTGGGCAGAGTCCTTGTCAGAAATTGAAGGCGCGCTCTTAGTCGCGCCACTAATAGAAAATATTTCACCTGTCGTAACAGCGTTTGCGATAGGCAATGTCAATGCCGTAAATCCCCAAGGCAAGAACCCATCCTATGAAAGTACTCAAATGAAAACCTCAGTACCCAAGGTGACAAAAATAGAGGAGAAACCCCACCACGAACTCCCTCAAAAGCCACGGGAAACTGCTTCTTCGTTGGTGACTATAGCCCGAGTAGTAGCCAAGCTCCTGGATCCGCCAGCCAACTTGGTAAAGCGAAGGCCTGCCGTGCAGATAAAACCAGCCGGAAAAGAGCCTCCGAAAGAGGCCAAACGACTCTTTGTTTGCATATAGCGAAAACATCAGTGGCGGAGGCTATCACCTGTCATAATTAAGAAGCTCAGCACTGAGAAAGCTGGAGTCGCACCTTCAGCAATTAAAGCGATGACACAAGTTAGGTCTGGCCTAGCAATGGAGTGCGCATCAGACGCACTCAGTGAATCACTTCTGGGTATAGGTCCTCCATTTCAAAAGGAGAAAATCACAATTGAGCCCTCCTCAGATTGGACATCGGTCATGGTCCCTCATGTCCCAATATGCATCCGTAAATTAGACGGAAGGATCGAAGTAACCAGAGAAATGGTGAAGGCAGGGTGCCAGGCAGTTTGTGTAGTCACACCAATACAAGTGCGCCCAAGCGAAACCAAACTAGGCAACTATTCCACTAGCTGGATCGTGCACTTCAAAAAGGCACCAGTAAACCTAAGGCTCAGGCTGTTGGACAAGAGTGGCCCTGCTATACTATCCTCCCGTAATCGCCCCATAGAGCAATGTTGTTGTGTTATCCATGCAACTTACCATGGTACATGCTTTAGGTCGTGTCATAGCATATGCACGTGACTGTGGAACTAAACCGTGGGGTGTTTAGTGTGTAATGCATGTGTGATGCATGTGTGGGTATACTGGACCAAACTAGAACTACATGGAATAGAGATAACAGAATCAGCGAGAGACTGATGGACTGAGAGAGAACGAGCTGGTCATTTCTCGTAGGAGAGAAATGATATCATAAGGGAATGTTCTAGCACTAGGCTGTGAACAACACAGTAAGTCTGGAGCAAGATATAAGGAGGTCTCAACCTCCGTCCATTCATATTTGTAACTAAGTTTCCTCTTCCAAGCTAGGCTTGGAATTGGAAATACTCGAGTATATTTGCACATGATAGGAAAAGTTGAAGATGACATATGCAATTTTTGTTCAAAACAAAGGCAGACTGTGCAGCATTTATTGTTACATTGTCCGAAATTTAAAAACCAAAGAAACTGATGTTTTAAGGACATCGAACCAAGAACCCTACCTATATTATTTCGAACAAGAAGAGGAAAAGAAGCACTTCTTAAATATTTGGACACATCCAAGTGCATGGCAGCACATAAAGGGAGTTGAACTAGGATAATTAAATTGGGAAATTAAAAAGTATTATGAAGATTGTATTTCAGAAAGGAGTTTTGGGGAAATTAATTATGTAAATAACGTGTCATAGCTAGATAGCTGAATACACTATGAATTAAAAAAAAAAAAAAAAAAAAAAACTAAGTTTCCTTTATACGAGAATATAGAGTCAAGTCTTACATATCACGAGAACGCACGCGACAGCAACTATAGAGACCTACTGTGAGCATAACTTTCCCAAGAGTATCCATCGTCCTGCTCCCATATAGCCTAGTTAATATAACAAATGTCAACGCTGCTGGGGCTACCACTCAACAAGGAACTGCGTCAAAGGACAGCGGTGTGAAAAGCTTTCTGGCACGCATGAAGCAGCCAAATGCTAGGTGAACATACCCAAATTTTCAAACTGTGCTGGACCGCACGAGTCAACCCACATGAGCTGCATGGCACGACCAAGGCAATACAATGGACAAGGAACGTCTCGGACACCAGTCGAGCTACTAGTTATTCGAGAGCGAGGACACATAGATTTTAAGGCAGCATTATTAAGATCTTAAGAAAAAGGTAAGGCCCGCAAGGTCATTAACATACTGTGAGGGAACAAAACAATAGCATTGAAGCAGAGTTGAGTTATTGTTATGATATGAGACAACGAGGTAGTCGAGGCTAGGGCATCGCGTGTGGTTCAAGGCCACAGCATACATCACTAGTTTACTGGTTAGGCGAGCATGAATATAGCTTCATAGATGTACCCACAATAAATTGGTACAGGTTTAGTGTTATACTTTCTGTCCATACAGCTACAGCATGATATTGCATGAGTCTATTCACTGTCAACAACTAATTATAACATCATCCACTCCTCATCACTCCGCAATGTGACTTCCGCATAGCTCATAACCACAATAGTTATTCCAAGTGGTGATTGTTTGTATTTGGCAGCTGGAACATGCAACAAGATCAAGGTGTAGATCATTAGCAAAGGCGCTCTGACTTATTTTTCTCCTGTAAAGCAAGCTGTATATAGGTCTTCTCCACCTTGAACCTCTTTCCAGATCTGTGGTAAATCTTTTCATCATATGGTTTATGACCACAATCATTCATCCCCTGAAACATACCAGAAGTAACAATGCTTGATAATGAGTAATAAACCAAAGTCTCATAAGCATAAC